GCAGCATTGTCTGTGGTGCGCCCCCACCCCATGGCATTGCTGGGGGGACATGCCCCAATGATGCCCTCTCTGGACAGCATTGCTGGGATGGGAATTGCCAGCCAGCCAGAACGCCCTCCCAAATATTTCATGGTGCCAAGGGTGGGTGCGGGTGCATGGGCCATGGTGCCAGTGGGCAGGGGGTAAATGGGCTGGGAGCTGGGCTTGGTTCTTGTTTACTTCTTTGGTCTCCGGCAGTCCAGATGCCAGCAAGAGGATGTGTCGAAACAAATTCACCTAGGGTCCCCTCAGCCCCCTAAATTTCTCCCCATCCCTTCTCCAAAAGAGGAGCATTGCCTCCTAAAGTATACCCCCCACCCAGAGACGAGCTAGCGTGGAGAGGGCCACAATGAGCTAGTGACACATCCACAAGGTGCCTTAAATTCCATGCACTCAGCTCAGGGCACTGCCCCATTGCCCCCTGGGGGTCCTGAGCCTCCCCCAATGAAGACAAGGGACTGGGTGTTGCAGTTAGCCACCACAGCTAACAGAAGACTGTTCTGTGGCTGATTTGGGGAATGGGACATGGGGTCTTTCCCCTCTAGGCGGTTTTGGCTCCGATCCAGCCCCAGGGAGGAAGGACTGGCTGGCTTGGGAGGGAGGGCTGGGAATGGTATATGGACCTCCCCCAGAGCTGGGGAAAGAACCCAGGAGTCCTGATTCCAAGTTACCCCGCTCTAATCCAGTAGACATCACTCCCCTCCGGGAGCCAGGCAAAGAGCCCAGGAGTCCTGACTCTCAGCCCAGGCAGAGACGGATATGGGCTGCGCTCTACTGATGGATCCCTCTATGCCGGGCTGGCCAGGTGTGTCCTGGGTGTGGGTACTGTTCCCCCCCACCCGTGGGTCAGATCCCCCCTTTGTGGCTGGTGCGGGTGAGAGGAATTGTTGCCTGTGGGCATTGTGGCCCATGCGCTCTGCATAAATCTACCTGTTGCACTGATCAGAGCTGGCAGCTCCCAGTGTCTTTGGATATCTGGACCTGCATGATGCTGCAGCGCAGGAGCCATGGTAAAATGGATGGGTGCCCTCCAGCCCCCTGCCTCTCAGGGCTCGGCATGCCCCCCGCCCCAGCCACTCATCCCACTGCTAAACACCCACTAATCTCCCAGCAGTCTCATGGAAGGGACTCCTGGGTTCCATCCCAGCTCTGGGAGGGGGCTGGGGTCTAGTGGTTAGAATGGAGGGGGACAGGGACAGGGGCTGGGAGCCAGGACCCTGGGGGATTTGGGGAATGGACAGAGCATTGCGTTGCATTGGGTGGTTATGCACCACGATATCCCCTGGCTTAGATACACCCCACTCTCCATGGTGTCTGGACTGCAGGACCCCTTCTACCCCACGGGACAGAGACCACTGGGTCTGACCGACCAACTGGCTAGGCTGTTCTTATTACTTTGTGACTGTTTGGGGGGAGCCTCATTCTTAGGCACTGTCTGGTGACTCATAGGGAGTTCCGGGGGCAGGGACAGGCTGCATTGAGGCCTGGGGGATTGGGGGTGAGGATGAAGTGGAGGAGGTTGGGGGGTGGAGGGAGTTGCAGGAGGAATTGGGTAGGCAAAGAGGGAGGGCTTTGGGCAGTGGGAGGAGGAGCTGGGGTGGAGTGGAAGCTCAGGGAGGTAGAGGAGTTGAGGTGTGGGTTGTAGGTGTGTATTGGGCAGGTAGGGAGAGTTGGTGTGAGGGGAGGTGTGTGGGGTTGGTGTGTACTGGGGGGAGGTGGGGGAGGTAGAGGAGGTTGGGTGGGGGTGAGGGGGAGGCGGGTGGGGTTGGTGTGTACTGGGGGAGGTAGGGGAGGTTGGATGGGGTGAGGGGGAGGTTGGGTGGGGGGGAGGGGAGGTGTGTGTGGGGAAGGTAGAGGAGGTTGGGTGCGGGTGAGAGGGAGGTGTGGGGCTGCTGTGTATGGAGGGAGGTTGGGGAGGTAGAGGAGGTTGGGTTCAGGTGAGTGGATGTGTGTGGGGCCGGTATGTACTGGGGGGAGGTGGGGGAGGTTGGATGGGGGTGAG